TGAACCAAACGTGGCACACAGAACTCCCATGACCAACAGAAAATACTGGAAGGGTTTGGTGGGCATTGACCTTGAGTTTTGGAGTTGTAGTTCACCTACATCCAGAGAGCACTGTGGACTCAAACAATGATGGATCTGGACCAAACTTGGCACGAATACTCAATATATCCAAATGTGAACCCTGGTGGAGTTTGGGGAAACTAGACCTTGACATTTGTAGTTTCTGGGATTTATAGTTCACCTACAATCAGAGAGAATTCTGAACTCCACCAATGATGGAATTGAACCAAACTGTGAGAGAAGAGCCTCTCTGGAAGATTGAAGAGATTGTGTAGGTTCGTAAATGGACTTTCCTCATACTTTTGGCATAAGGCGAAGATGGGCTGCTAGTTTTTTTAGTTAAGAGATGCTTCGATTGTATTGGTGGCCCAATACTGTTTATGGTATATGTTTTTTATGTTTTTTATGCTTTTAAATTGTATATTGTTGCTGTTTTAGTGATGTAAACCGCGTTGAGTCGCCATTGTAGGCTGAGAAACGGCGGTATACAAGAGTAGTAAATAAATAAATAAATAAATAGGTCCTTATGCCAAGAGGACAGGGAAAATGAGGAAGTCCAGAAAAAAGTGCCCAGGGAGTGTGTCTGGCCCATGGGTCTTTGTTTGCCTATGTCTGATCTAGAGTCACAATTCTCTTCAGCTTGCTTAACTGTGATGAAGGATTAGAAACTGGATTAATAATGGCACTCCTTTTTCCTCCTTTCCGGTTTTCACTAATATTGAGGATGATTTATTTAACAAGAACAGTCAATCTAAGGATATTGGGATCAATTTTGCAGGCATATATTGTAGTAGTGAATGAACCTGACTTTCCAGACAAGTGTAACTGTATGCAGTATAAATTGGACCCCTACATCGCTTTCTTTCTTCTCTGGATTAAATTTCAATTTCTTCACTCTTGCCCATTGCTGGCACTAAAATTTACTCCTTGGAATTTGATGAAAAGAGTACAGATTGCTTTTAAAAAGCAATGTGATGCTGGAATGAATGAGCTTTGTTTTATGTTGTTAGAACATATCTCCCAAGCCCTGCAATAGTAGGACTGCTTCCGCTGCCTCCTACATATTTTTCCAATTTTCTAGATCTTCCTTCCAATGCTGAAGCAGCTTCAATCCATGATATTGCCAGACAGAGCTAACATGTTGTACAATATGATCCATAATTATTCAGAAAGCATTTCTACCCAGAGGCTTTCTTCCCTATTGTTGTCACAATTTCCTTGAAAATGCAAAATCTTGTAATTTCTCAAATTTTCCCCGATAAGGCTCTTTGAAATCTGCTTTTAATCTTATCAAGTATGAGTTATTGAGATTGGGCAGGGCAGTTGTGAGGTTAGAGGGTTCATATGACACATTTAAAGGCGTGTTTCCATTAAAAATAATTATTTTCCTGACTTCAGCTTCTTCTTAGAAGGACCTGCTTGTTGTTCATTGATTGCCCTTTCTGATATGATATGTAGTAAGAGATGTCACCATCACAGAATCTGTTTTCTGATACAGCCTTGGCTTTCACAGACTGGTTAAGGCCCACAAGCTTGAAATTAAGCCCTAACTTAAAAATCAAACAGTTTTCTGTATATAGGCTTGCCGTGTTGAATGCACGACAAGGGTCCTGTTGTATCATTATTTAGCCAGGCCCCTTCCACACTAACCATACAATCCAAATTATCAAAGCCCCAGTCTTCAGTTAGGAAGACTCAACATAAACATTTGTGAGTAGGAACTACGGCACCTTGTCTCTCCTTCCTCACATTTTAGCTGCTGCAGCCCACCACTAAGGCTATTTACTGGCATGTGGAAAGTATGTGTGTTTGTGTCAGTGAAGATTTCTGTAGCTGGAAACTACAAAAATCAAAATTGAATTACATGTCAGTTGAAAACATATAGTTCAGTACAGGTTCGTGGCAAAATTAGGGCTTTTCTACATTAGTTTAAAAAAGCCCTCCATACTTATTAGTGCTGGTAGTCTCCATGATGCCCAATGACATTTGTTAAATATCCAAATTTTTATGCTTTTCACCCAAGTTTTCTCTCCACTAAGCAAAGTTGGCACATACAGGAAAGTCTCAAGTACCTGAGGGCATTCTGGTTGGCTGGACAGCAGGATCAAATCCATTTTGTCAAGATCTGTCAAAATCATACTGGCACCATCATATTTTCCCTGCATTGATAAAAGTTGTACAGCGGGCCCAAAGTCATCTTGGCTTATCTGGAAAGGGGATGGGTCATTCATGTCACTGCTCATCACCAGCCTCAATATTCCCTATGAGTATTGGATCATCATGGTTGCATTTGTTCAGGTGATAATGCATGATCAACAAAAAGGAGGGAGTACTCCTTGTTGATCCCATGGGCACACCATTATGACCTCAGTAGAGAGCTAGGTTCTTGCAGGGAGATCCATGCCTGGTGAGGTCAAGGACAAGTGACATATGGACAAATGATTGGTCCAGTGGGGCCAAAGTAGTCTTGGCTTATCTGGACTATATGGATACCAACACCTAGCCAGAAAAGGCTGGGCTTGATGCATGAAGCCACTATCATAGTCAATCCAAGGGAAAATGCCACAGTGCCACACAGTGCTTCTGTTTCATTGGAAGGGCCTTGAGTGCAAATGATCCCATGAAAAGTACCACCTTAAGAAGGATGTCTTAAATCTGCTCCAGTGGAAGGGTCTTGAAGGCACTGCTGCCTTAAAGGATGCCTGTTTTAAAAAGCGTGCTGGTATCCTTGAAATGGGAGGAGTCGTTGCCTTCCCATGTGATGGGAATTAAGCAGATGGTTGCGTAGAAGCTGGAAGAGGTGATCTTTAGTGTGATAGGAGTAAGTAAATTCTTTGTCTTCTTTAAAGACAGAACCCCATTAAACTCCACCCTTTCTCCCACTTTCCCTCATTTTCTCTAGCTCCCTGTGATGAAGTCCTAAGTCTGTAATCTCAAGTTTACATGGAAGCTAAAGCCATCAAATTTGGAAAAATTTGGGACCTCATCCCATTTTGGCAGGAAGACAGAATCATCTTTGTGTGATGTTTCATGGGGTTCTGTCTTTAAAGGAAAATTTACTCACCCTCACCACACAGGATCACCTCCTCCCCTTTCTAGCCCAACCATCCACTTAATTTCCCATCACACAGGCTGGCGATTGTCAGTTTTAAAACACTCCTTTCAATGGGATTTCCCCCTCTTCTCTTTGAATTCCTCCTCTTAACACCCTTTCCATGATCTTTCCACGTTGGAATCCCTCCAGTTTTAACACTCCTGTTGCAATCCAGAGCAGAGAACGAGGCCTAAGATAACTATCCACCACACTTGGATGTGAAAAACAATCCTTTTTTATTGAAGAAAAATGGTTACAAAATAAAGGAAAAATGCAAGTCAAAAGCCACAGCAAAATCAGCAAACATGAATTTAAATGGACAAAGCAAAACCAAAAGCCTCTCTGAGAAATACTTGAATCTGTTAGCAATCCACTAACCGTACTTGATATCCTAGAAATCTTTCCATACTATGGCCAGGGAACCGGGAGAACTGCCAAGGTCTTCATCAATTCTGAAACGATGCCTGAACTGAGGGAATCAGCCTGGCGTATTGCAATTAAAACTCAAGAATCGGTTCCGTGAACCGCCCTTCTGTCTTGAGGCCAATGTTTTTAATTCTTGAATTCGGGAGGATCGACGCAAACTGAGTGTTTTATTTCTGTCTTCCCAGATTTGGCTCCTTCTGTTGTCATTACAGTTAACAGGTGCAGAAGGGAGGGAAAGTTCAAGGTCTCCCTCTGCAACATTCTCATTAACACTGGTACTTTCATTTTCCAAATCTACAGAAGTTCCTTCCTCACTAATTTCAGGAACATTGGCATTTTCCAAACCTACAGCAGATTCTTCCTCACTAATTTCAGGAGCATTGGCATCAAAAGGTACATTTCCACTAGCATCAGTAAATATACTTTCATTAGCATCAGGAGGAACAAACAGAGAATCAGGTTCAAGTTCAAACTCAGGCTGAACCCCAACAACTCCTTTCAATGAGATCATTCCCTCTTCTCTTTCACTTGAGCAGACCAGAAGACTTTAACACCATGATCCCCCCCCCCCATTTGAAACTCCTTTAAATGGGATTGTTACTTTAGATCCCTCCTCTAGAAACACTTATTTCAATCGGACCCACACTGTCTTTAAACCACTAATGCACAGAAGGATGATGGACGGGCACTTCATAAAAAGGAGTGTAAATGGAGAAATCCCCCACTTCCTATTCCATGGACAGATACCCATTTTTAGACATTCCTATGTACATGAAATGGAGTGGAGTCTATTTGTGCCTGGCTTTGAAATCTTCTACACACTGTGGAGAAGGAGTCTCGTGAGAATCCACCGAAAGCAGTTCTGCATCATTTGATGGGCTCTGTGGGAGTCTGTATTTGAAATGTGTAGAAATGGAGGAGGAAAACCGTTTGCCTTATTTGAAGGAAAATATGTTTAGGTTGATAACATTGAAGTGAAATATACTACTAATTATCTTGGAGAAATCATCAGAGAGAGGAAGATTTTCATCAATGTCTACCTTAAATTTGCCTCCTCTGTGTCCTAGGCACTGTGTATTTCTCAACCCTAGTTCTACCACTGCTACAAGTCCCATGCTATTTCTTGATAAAACCTCGAAGTCACTGTGAAATTATATATGCATTATTGAAAGACACCTGCTACATTAGGAAACCTATGTTATGGGTGTGATTCACTTATGAGATGACTCAGCTTATTCTGAAATTACAAATCACAACTTGTTTGTATTTTGCCTACCACATATTTTGCACTACATGTATATTCTTCGCCTCATTGATCTTGGATTTTTTGTTACAGTCAGAGTAGCCTGACTGTTGCACAGATTCATTTGCATTTTCAGGATTACGTAATCAACATCCAGGAACTCAGAAGTGTAACAAGCTAGTCTTCATGCAAATATACATCTTTAAATATCAGTGCTCAGAAGGACTGCACCACTTCAGATTCATGTGTTCAGCAGAGTTAGACTCTCCCATAGAATAAAGGTAAGTTTAATGTAGGCTTTTTTCCTTGTGTTAAATGAGTATGGTGTGGATGTATATGTATATGTGCTTGCATGTGTGAACAAACCTCAAATAAGGGACAGCTATTGGGCAGGATGTTAAAAAACGTAGAGATTTAGAAAAACAGTAGGGTGTAGTGTTCATAATCAAGACTGACAATCAAAATATGGAAAATAACAAAGAATGATTGCAACATGAAAAGCACCAGCTGAAATGAACAAGTCTTTTGGGGGACTATATCAACCCACACATTGCAAACAATAACTTGTGGATTGTGATAATACATGAACATAGAATCTGTTGTGTTACATAAAAATATGGAAATGTAATGGTGCCATTGCTTTTCAGAATTTTCAAGGGTACCTTTCAAATGTTTTTGAACTCCAAGAGTGTCTGATCATTTCCCATGGGAATTGAAGTATTTGGTTCCATATATACTTTATGGCTGGAATCACTGTGTTGCTGTGAGCTTTTAGGCTGTATGGCTATGTTCCAGCAGCATTCGCTCCTAACGTTTTACCTGCATCTGTGGCTGGCATCAACAGAGCCTCTCAAGATGCCAGCCACAGATGCAGGCAAAACATTAGAGAATGCTGCTGGAGCATGGCCATACAGCCCAAAATACACCAAGTGGCCAAGGAAAGAAGTCATGTAACTGTTGTGGGAAGTTCACATGACGTATGGCTAGTTCACAGTAGAAGCATTGGTTACAGTTTGGTAATCTGGAACAAGGGGAAGCAGAATTTATTCCAGAGCTTTCAGGAGACTCTAGAGCAATACTAGTGTTTTGTAAATGTGGACAATTGGATTGGGCTGAATCGACTTGATCCAGTGTCCAAATGTTCAACAGATCTACAGTGTGCTGGCTAGAAGCAGCTTGGCTGATAAAGCCTTGTTGGTGACATCACTTCTGCTGTTCATATAGGTTGGCACCCTCTTGTGAACTCACCAGAAGCAATGTCATTAGCAAACTTCTGCAAGGGAGATGCCTCTGACTGATGACACAGTTGCAGCATCTCCAGTACATTCTCAGCCCAGCCACACTAAAAAGTCACTGGAAATCCTACTGTGTTGCATCAAGGCATCTCCAGAGCACAACACTCCAGATTATTTTGCTCAGGGTGGCTCTCCAGATGTTATTGGGCTGTATTTGGCATTATCCCTTACTTTAGCTGGGCCTGATGGAAGTTGCAGTCTAACACTGGAGAGCACATGTTGCTCTCCATGCTCTGTGACATATATTGAAGTAGGTTTTCAATCAAGCAAACAATTTCTCTTTGACATCTTGAGCTGCTATCTTGTGCAGATCAAGGTTACATATATATTACACAACAGTGTCCTTTGTTATGACCACATAGGAAACTGAAGACATTGTTGCTCACACAATTTCCAAATCATGTGTTCAGCGGAGATCTTAGAAAGCTGAGTGGTTTCAATAATTTCCTAACTTCCAGAAAAAATGTGTTACAAACATCACCTGGTTTGTGGATATATATGACACTGGGATTTGTTGCAACAGAGATAGTAATACGTTTTATTAATTAGCCCATCAGCTAAACACATGCAACAGAAACAAACACGGAAAACCACAAGTTAAAAAAAAAAAGTCGAAGGCTTTCATGGCTGGAATCACTCAGTTCTTGTGGGTTTTTTCGGGCTATATGGCCATGTTCTAGAGGCATTTCTCCTGACGTTTTGCCTGCATCTATGGCAAGCATCCTCAGAGGTGAGGTCTTTTAAGCAGACCTCACCTCTGAGGATGCTTGCCATAGATACAGGTGAAATGTCAGGAGAAATGCCTCTAGAACATGGCCATATAGCCCGAAAAAACCCACAAGAACTGAGTAAAAAAAAAAAAGCTTTTTTAGTACTGACATGTTGAAATATGAATCCCACCTCTATTTCTAATAGGCTAATTGAAGTGATAGTAACTGCATATATAAAGGATAGTGAAAACCAAAATTATCCATTCTTAGGGGAAGAAAGGTTACCTTATATTTAGTCTTTCAACAGCAGGGTAAGTTTATCTTGTTCTACTCCATTCTCTAGGTAACTCTAACTTTACTTATAAATTTCAGGTCACTGTGGGAATTATAGATCAAAGAAGTAAATTTCCCCAGTGTTGTCTTTGTCTTTTGGTTGTATGCTCAGTCTGCTTAAAACAAGAGACAGTATAATCTGCATTTAAGGGTAAATGTTCTGTAAGTGAATACTTTGAAGTATAAAGATTTTATTCAAAGTTGATTACAAGTCTCCTCACAGGGAATTCAGGTGTTGCTAGAGAAAATTATTCTCATTCAGCTCTGTTGCAGATGATGCTAAAACTGCTATGTAGGGATGGACTATACTAACGTAACACTATACAACTTATGACATTGTTTTGTGATGGATCAACACTATGATGAAATGTTATGACACTAACTGTATTAGTGATTAGTTTCCATTTATTATATATGTCAATCAAAATAGAGATGCATTGATATTTCCACAATTACATATTTGTCTTTGGAATGGCATTTTATCTTAAATTATTATTGTGTTATTGGACGCAATGTTTTGATCCAATCACAGTTTTGTATTTATCTTTTGTCTGGTGTGTAGCACATTATCATTGTGTATGTGCAGGAGAGTGGAAACATCCATAGATGCTAGGATTCAAATAACATAGAATTCTTTACCAGGAGACCTATTTTTCAATGTGATTTACTTCTGTATCAACTCATAACAACTACACAACAAAATCTCTGTTGCCACCTCTTTATTTTCAAAGTGGTTCACTTCTCTTAAAAATATGTTGTTATGTTTTTGTTATTATCATAGGTATATTTGGCTTCACCATGGGAACTCTTATTGATTCAAATAATAAATTTGCTGTGGATCTTTTAAAAATATTGATGAAAGACAATCATGAAGGAAACATCTTCTGTTCCCCACTGAGCATCTCAGCAGCTCTGAGCATGACCCTTATGGGTGCCAGAGGGAACACTGCTGAACAGATGGAAAAGGTAATCATCCAGTCAAGGGAAACCATGAGACAGTCCACACATAATCCCACCTGTGGGGAAATCACTCAGAAATCCACCCCCCATTTATAGCTGAAGCACAACAAATTTGAAATAAATTCCTTAGAATGTGTGGAAATTTAGTATGTGAAAAAAATCAAACTTTTCACAACCCAAATGAAAAAAAGGATGGAAATAATTGCAGTTGGGATTCGAAAAAACTCAGGCTGGATCTACACTGCCTTATATCCCAGGATCTGATCACATATTATCTTCTTATCCCAGATTATCTGGCAGTGTAGACTCATATAATCCAGTTAAAAGCAGATAATCTGGTCAGATCCTAGGATATAAGGCAGTGTAGATCCATTCTTAGAAAAATTCAAGCTCAGAAAAATTCAACCCCTTTTCCATGGGTTGTGAATGTCATGGGTCTGGGATGTTACGTACATATATAAGAGGATGGTGATACATGTGCGGTTGGGGTCTAACAGGAGCACAATCTCTAATCTCCAAGCACAACAATACAACACATTACAGTCATTTTCCATCTTGTGTTCTGACAAGCTTTGGAGTTCCTTGGAAATTTATTCTAGATTTCATGGAGGAAATTTATCATAGACCTCCAAGAAGTAATGGGCGAGACACTGAAGATGGCAGGAGAGTGTTCACACTATGTGTGCCAGAGGGCCAGTTCTGAACCCTTAAGACCACCTGCTAGTTTTAGGTATATCAGAAGAAGCTCTTCCCATAGTTGATGTTGAACTAAGAGTCAAGCAGTAACCTGGTGGGCTTCTATACATGGGATGAAGGGGTGCAGCAAATGTCCATAGATTTCCCCCCCAAAAAACCTTCATCTATCATAGTTGCTTATTATAACTAGAAGGGAGTTGGCTTCCATGATGTACTCTAAATTCACACAGGGCAGGAGTCGCCAACTTCTGAAAGGCATGCTGGTTGGGTATGGCAGGGTTTTTAGTACAGTATTATGTATTTCTGGAATACATAAAATTTATTTGAACCTAATTACTGTAGCATCATTTTATCTTTCCTCTACATGATAATGTAATGTGTTCATGTTTTCCCCACATAAAAAATGATATAAAGGAGAATGGTTTAACATTCTACATTTTCTGTTGCAGGTCCTTCACTTCACTGAAATCACTGGATCTGGATGCTCTAAAGACATTCCTGTAAGAGTGATATAAGCCATAACCTAACACTTTCAACATCTTCAGTTTAGGAAGAGAAAATGCAGACCTAGACAGATTATTCTTTTGAAAGGGTAGATAACCCAAAAACAGAAAACACTCCCTTTTTATGCTGTTTTTAAACAAAATCTAATATAATAATTTTTAGGTGTTAAAATTAAAATGATTTACTACTTCTCTAAGAGCATTTTCTTGGAGCACTACATTACTCATTATATTTGATGTGTGTGCAAATGCAAGTGTATTTAAATTGTGCATAGACAATGGATAAATACTTTTGAGAGGGCAATTGCCAGACCTCATGCAGACAGAATGGTGGTGATGCCTGCTGGCTGGATTGTTATTAAAGCTGTAGTCAAAGTTTAATGCAATGCTTCCAAACTCTTGATGTAAATTTGGAGAATATGACAAGCTACTTTCACAAGAAAGCAGATGTCCTGTTAAACAGCTTTTTCTCTTTGAAGGTTACCGGGGCACAATGTGACAAACCTGGAGGACCCCACGAACAGTTCAAGGCACTCTTGTCTGCCATCAATAAACCTACCAAAGATTATGCTCTGAGTATTGCCAACAGGCTGTATGGATCAAACAATTATGAGTTCTTGCAGGTAAGAAATCAAACTCTCCATACTTCTTCACATATCAATCCTGTTTTGAATGGTGAACGGCATGGACCAGAAGTGTTTATAGTCAACGATCATGCCAACTTTGTCACAGTTGGTTCTGCTTATTTTAATAACACATTGCAAACTCACTGAAATTAATAGAACTTACATTAGTTATGACTAATTATTTCAATGATTTCAGTAGGTTCCTTCTAGGCATGACAAAACTTTTATTATCTAATCACTCTTATTAGCTGTTTTGTTATGTGCCTTCAACTAATTTATCATTTATGGAGACTTTAATGATTTTCTTTGGCAGAATTTGCTCAGGCATAAATTGTACTGTGCAGGAGTGAGGTTAAAGGAGAGCTTGGAAAAGTTGGAAAACTTCTGGTTTAGTTTAAACTCAACTGTTAAGACAATGAAAGGTGAAAATAAAGGAGCACATAGATATTCCAGTTTATTGTGACTATTTATTTATCATGTCAGGGGCAACCAGACAATTGTATTACATTTCCAACAGAACAAAACAAACAAACAAATTAAAAAAAACAAAAAACAAAAACACAAAGTTTGCAAACTTGGTAGTTGATTAAATGTCCTTTGACCAGTATCTGGCCACTTGGAGTGCCCCTGGTGTTGCCGCAAGGAGGTCCTCCATCGTGCATGTAGCAGGGCTCAGGTTGCATTGCAGCAGGTGGTCAGTGGTTTGCTCTTCTCCACACTCGCATGTCGTGGATTCCACTTTGTGGCCACATTTCTTAAGATTGGCTCTGCATTTCGTGACTGAAAAATAATTGTTACCTTATTATTTTTAATTCTGGACAGCAATACTTACATTGCACAAAGGAGCTGTACCATGCTGAATTGGAAAGTGTTGACTTCAGGAATGCAACAGAAGAAGTTCAAAAGAAGATTAATTCTTGGGTTGAAAGCCAAACAGAGGGTAAGAGAACATGTATTCATTCTCAGTTAGCTTGAATTTGATCATTTTGGATGTGCCTCTCAAACCTGATATATTTTAAAAAATGAATGATTGAAAGTTTTCAGCTGTCTGATGATAATCTCTTTTCCTTAAATATATTTTCAAAAAGGTAAAATCAAGGATCTCTTTCCTAGTGGGACTATTTCCTCAGATGCTGCCTTGATCTTAGTGAATGCAATATACTTCAAAGGAAAATGGAAGGTGATGTTTGATAAAAAGAAAACATATGAAGAATTTTTTGGGACTAGCAAGGTATGATATTTCTAAAAGCTTGCACAGATAAGAATGTATAAATTATCTGTTCCACAATAATAAATGATCTCTTATACACAGAGAATCAAGATTTAGCACATGAAACATTATATTTTTTTATTTATAGCTCCCACAACAGCTTGCCCAGTGTGGCCATTGGCTATGCTGACTGAAGTGATTGTAGGAGTTACAATAATGAGCCCAAATCCTGTTATTAGTTCCCAATGGAAGAAACTCATTCAATAATTGAGACTTATGGAAAGTTGAATTATCAAGTTCCCATTGATTTAGTGGGTTTGCTAAAGTTGGGACTAAAGTCTAAATTTGGGCCCTCAAATGTTTCAAGATCAACAACAATCAGTTCTGGGTTTCCCATTAGCCAGACGATAGGTAACTTTCTGGTATGAAATCTTGTTGACACTGAAAATAATGTCAACTCACTAAGTACAGTCAACACTTCATGTAGTGTATATAGCTACATTTCTATGGAGTGGTTAAATGGTTAAATACTGCTTTATATATTACAGAATCAAAAGAAAAAAGTGCAAATGATGTTCCAAGAGGATGAATTTAATATGGCTGAAATAAATGATCCACTTTTGAAAATCCTTGAACTTCCTTATCAGGGTACACTAAATATGTTCATTCTTCTACCAGCTTGCAAAGAATCTTTAGACCAGGTATTTTTCTTTGATTTCTACAAATGTTAATAAAGTAAATGTTTTTAAATAATTCTGGAAAGTCTTTGTGGTGGGTGTTCATATTTTTGATATTCAAAAGAATGGGAATAGTAAGGTGAATTGATGCAGCATGGCTCGAGAGTGAAAAAGATCTTGAAGTTCTTGTGGACAAAAAGTTAAAAATGAGCCAACAAAGTGATGCGGTGAAAAAAAAAGCCAAAAGGATTTTGACCTGCATCAATAGGAGTCTAGTGCCTAGATCTAGGGAAGTCATGCTACCTTTCTATTCTGCCTTGGTTAGACCACACCTGGAATACTGTGTCCAATTCTGGGCACCACAATTGATGGGAGATGTTCACAAGCTGGAATGTGTCCAGAGGAGGGCAACTAAAATGATCAAGGGTCTGGAGAACAAGCCCTATGAGGAGCTGCTTAAAGAGCTGGGCATGTTTACCCTGAAGAAGAGAAGGCTGAGAGGAGACATGATAGCTATGTATAAATTTATGAAAGGAAGTCATAGGGAAGAGGGAGCAAGCTTGTTTTCTGCTGCCCTTTAGACTAGGACACAGAACAATGGCTTCGAACTACAAGAAAGGAGATTCCATCTGAACATTAGAAAGAACTTCCTGACTGTGAAAACTGTTCAGCAGTGGAACTCTCTGCCCCAGAGTGTGATGGAGACTCCTTCTTTGGAGGCTTTTAAACAAGGAGGCTGGATGGCCATCTGTCAGGGGTGCTTTGAAAGCAATTTTCCTGCTTCTTGGCACGGGGTTGGACTGGATGGCCCATGAGGTCTCTTCCAACTCTATGATTCTATGATTCTTTGAATGAGTGCCTGATCCCCCCCACCCTTCCTTTAAAAATATTGTGTGATGTTTAAATTGTTATCTTTATTCAAAAATATGTAATATTTTTGTTTTAAATATGAGCGTGCTACAGGGCAATGTAATCAAGCTTGAGTGCCAGCATCAATTAATGTTACATATATATTTATTGTTTATTTAAAATGCTTACTGAACTTTGATACTGCCTCAATTTCTATGTCTGAATTTTTATGTCAGATCACACTATAGTTTATTGACACAGGAATGAACTGAAGTGAACCTTTAACTCATATGTCCCATCATCGGAATCCTCAATCATCATGGTCACAAAAATGCAAGAGAATTTTCTGTTTCGCTTCTGATTGCTGTATTTCATCACATAATAGTTGCCATCACATAATAGTCATGCCTCCCTTTTGAGGAAGACAAAAATTGAATTTTGCTATTCCCCACATAATAGCAACACCCTTAGTTTACTCACCTGGTTAAGTGAACTAAAGGTGTGGCTGCCAATTTGGTGCTGTATCAAAAGAGAATGTGGGCAGGTACAGGGTGAACCATTACCCACCCACATGGCTGCAACTTCAAAGAGATGATCAAAGTGGTGTCAAAGAGAAGATCAAAGTGGATTCAATCAGTTCTTTGTGGAACTGCCACTTGAGCTGTCACTTGAGTCTTAATTTGGCCTTGCTCCTCCCTCCCTATATCCGAAAGAAGAATGAAGATAAACAATAACCTTGAGAAATGTTCCTTTAAATAACAAGTTGTTCTTCAAGCCCCTCTTTACTGTATCTATGAGGAAGAGCTCAAGACATGAGCCTCACTGAACAACCCTGCAGGCCAGTTGCTCCAGGTTAACCAGTTAAGAAGTCAGTTTAAGCTCATGGATTCTTCATCCTTGTTTTAAAGTTAGCTTGTTTGAATCTAATCATAGTTCACTGTAGCTCAACCTGTTAGTCCAGATGTCATGACAAGTTGTGGTTAAGTGAAAGCATCTGAACCTCTCTGCCCAAGAAAGTTGAATGTGATAAGAGCACAAACTCTCTTATCTTAAAAGTTGAATGTGATGAGTACAAAACTCAGTGCAGCACAGTGCTTCTCATTTTGATCATGCTTAAAACATAGCAAATACATTGGGTAAAAATGATTAATCTCTTTGGGGGTGGGGGGAGAGAGACAATAATGATTTGGTGTTAAAATTAGGTGAGTGTATTCAATATTTTCTTTACTTCAATAATTCAGTTTTCCATAGAATAATTTCTAAGGAAGTGATGCTTCTTTGGATAAGTGAGTTTTTGTAGTGTTTCCCCGTGAAGCTAATTTTTTATTGCAAGGATTTTAGGGAAATATGTTTTCTTTTAATAGTGCTCATACATCTTGCCATTATATTTTTACTCTTTATTTTATCTTGAATTGTTGTTATTGTTTTCATAGCTTGAAAGAGAACTCACATATGCGAAGATGAAAGAATGGATGAGTTCAGCCAAAATAAAGACACAAAAAATGAGAGTTCTCATACCAAAGTTCAAGCTGGAAGAAAAATATGAACTCAAACCAATTTTAAAAGCCATGGGAATGACTGATGTGTTTCTACAAGGAAAGGCTGACTTATCAGGAATGTCAAAAAACCAGAACCGTGATCTGGTTGTGTCCAAGGTCACTCATAAAGCTTATGTTGATGTCAATGAAGAGGGTACAGAAGCAGCTGCTGGTACTGGTGTAGAAGTTGTTCCAAAGCATGCAGTAATTCTTCCAGAGTTTAAAGCTGACCGTCCCTTCATTTTCTTAATAGAAGACAGTGAAACTGAGAGCATCATGTTCATTGGCAGATGTTCCTCACCATGATGCTCATCAGATACAAAAATCACAACAAGCAACTGTATCTTGGTGGTGGGCTAAGCATGTCAACAGTTCTGGAAGAAATAAATACTCCAAATTTAACATACATTTTGATTAATAAAGTAAAACTTAAAGAATCACAAAATCCTAATCTTGATCACTTCGATACATGTATAGGCAAATGCATCTTAACCTGATCTTAATTGGCTGACTGTCCTCTGCTTTTCTCTCCTCAAAAGGGAAATAATTTGTATAGTAGAGCCCCCCTCTCGGTACATCTGACTGAAATATCTCTATTACATCAAGCCAGCTGGCATCTGCACTCAGCCAAACTACTTGTTCAGCCATGCTACAAGGATTGAATCTCACAATGGTTGCAGATTGGGCTGTTGCACAATGTGCTGGGAATTTCAACTCATGTGGGCTTAGCAAAGCCTTTGGGATGTAGGAGATCTTAGAGGCAGGGCTGTAGCCAGAAAAAAAATTCAGGGAGGGTTGAAAATTCTTTTTTTTTGGGGGGGGGGGAGAAAATTTCGGGGAGGGTTGAAAATTTGAGGGGGGGGGTTGAAACCTGCCTCCTAGCTCACGCTGAAGCAAAGAGCACAGCAGGGGCAGAGCAGCCTTCAATAGCCTGCAGCTCCGCCCCTGTCAACCACCTCCACCAAGTCTGGCCTCCTTAATGAGAGCATTCAACAACCCCCCCCCCCCCCCAACTTGGTTGCTTCGCTACATCAGCTATTGCTGCAAGTAATGACAGTGTGGCTAAATTGTCAATATTTGCTTGAGATAGTGCTTGCAGTTCTGGAGGACTCTTAATTTTTTGCGTCTTATAGACTTAGCATGGGGATTTGGCTAACCAGTTAAAATTCATGAGTAAACCAGGTTTATTTTTTTTTAACCTTAAAAATTTCAGAGGAGGGGGGGTTGAACCCCTAACCACCACCACCCTCGCTACAGGCCTGCTTAGAGGCCATATACTGGATTGAGCCATGGACTTGGCCTCTTTTTATGGTGGAACAGTGTGAACACTACCACTCTCTAGAGCAGAGTTGGACAGCTTCGTGACAGTGCATGTGTAGGGTGGTGGCAGCATTTTTGCTTCCATGATTCTGTATATGCAATATGCTACATTGCATATACAGAGGAAAAATAAGTCATGCACCATATAAGGGTGAAAAATAAACAGGTCACAACTTTCATTGGTTACAGCTAAGGAAGTGGCTTTGCCCTGCATGGGTTCGGATCTAGGCATCAACCAACCAATCCGTTGATTGGAGCTCAATACTTCAGCCCACACTGGAACCTAGAGATGACAATAAGGAAAAGCAGAGTGGATGACCCATGCAGATATCTCCTGCTGCTCGGGAATGCAGTGGATGTGCAAGCTCCTGACATGGCTAATCCCAAGAATGCACCTCTGAGTCCCCCTTTCTCATAATTGCCAAAGATACCTTGCCAATGGATGTCCCAGATCTAAAACCCACACCAACCACTACAAAAGACAATAACAAATTTACTTTTACAGATCAGCATGTAACAAAAAATGTATTCATCAAGAAGCAAGTTTCTAAACATGGAGTTGTTATTCTCTTGGTTCTTTGAAAACAATGCTGTTGGTCAAAAATCTTGCAAGGCCATCTTTTATTAATAATTAAATTGATAATGAGATGGATAATCTCATTGATCTGGAAGATTCTGAAACTTCAAAAGATGAACAAACTCTGATAGAACTGTGCAGACAGGATAAACAAGAGCAGAATAATACATGTATTCAGGTCTGGGCAAATCAATATTAATATTACAGAATTGGCTGAAGAAAGTTGCAATAGGAGCATGAGGTTAAACATTAATTCCCCAGTGAACAGAAAACAGATGCATAACAGACTCTTAGACTTAAGTAAAACAGATAATCCCAATCCCTTATTAATAAATGTACACTCAATTAATAAGTGTACGCTCAAGAGGATTCCATGATGAAGGTACAAGACTTGAGCAGATTCACACAATAGATTGACAATCTAAGAAACATGGAGATTTGCTCAAGTCTTTTAAATCACCAATACTCTTATTAAAATTGAAATCCCTACCCCCACCCCTGATTAATTAACTTTCTGTTCAGAATTATGTCATAGAATCTATCTGGTTGGAATCTTAAATCTAGAGAACATGTTGTCAGAGATTGCATTGGGAAATTTGATGTGATTTTTATTCCTTCAAATAATATTTTTGTTAACGCAATTGTGTGTGTGTGTGTATATATATATATATATATAGAGAGAGAGAGAGAGAGAGAGAGCACATTATTAGGAGAAAACCTGTATGTACATACTTTACATGCTACAAGCAACACTACCCACTACATACAACAGGGCTAACATTCTTCCTCTCCCTTTTTTTCGTGTGAGGAACATCTTGAGAAACTGCAAGTTATTTCTGGTGTGAGAGAATTGGCCCTGGTGGCGCAATGAGTTAAACCAGGGGTCCTCAAACTTCCCTCAGACTGTTGGGGGAGCTGGACTACATTTTGAGAAAAACATGGACAAATTCCCATGCACACTGCAGTTATATTATTTGTACTGCAAAAAACGTGAAAGAACAATACAGTATTTAAAATGATGAACAATTTTAACCAACATAAACTCATCAGTATTTCAATGGGAATGGTGGGCCTGCTTTTGGCTGATCAGATAGTCAAGTTATTCAGATTGTTGTTGTTGTTGTTGTTGTGTGACTTAAAGTTGTTTCAGATTTAGGGTGACCCTAAGTCTAAAGTTTAGACCAGGGGCCAAGTAAATGACCCTGGAGAGCCGCATCTGGCCCTTGGGCCTTAGTTTGAGAACCCCTGAGGTAAACCATTGTACCGGCAGGACTGAAGACCAACAAGGCTGGCAAAACATCAAAACATCTGGCCGTCCTCTGAGCAACATTCTTGCAGGTGGCCAATTCCTCTCCCCTAATTAGATATTATATAAATCTGAATTTCCTTTGTTTCTGTCTCTCTCCCTCTCCCTCTCCCTGCCATACACTTAATTGATTCTCCAACAGCTAAAATGACTTGTTGAAGGCTTTCATGGCCAGAATTACTGGGTTGTTATAGGTTTCTTGGGCTGTATGGTCATGTTCTACCAACATTCTCTCCTGACGTTTTGCCTGCATCTATGGCAGGCATCCTCACAACCATTGATACAGGTGAAACATCAGGAGAAAATGCTTCTATAACAAGGCCATACAGCCCAAAAAAACTACAACAATCCAGCTAAAATGACTTTTGACTCCAGTAACAGATATTTCTGGTTTTGTTACTGTATGCCAAAGCACATGTTTTTGCATGGAATGCCTTAATATTTGAATATAAATGTGAGATTAATTTGCAGTTCTCATTGCTGAGAGACATATATCCTACTGCTGGAATAACCATATGTTTTGAATTTCTGGATCTTTCCATGCTCTCTTGTCCTTTGCTCCTCCCCCTACTGCTGCTGCTGCTGCAATCCCTGGGTGGCATCAGGGGTAAGGGACAAGACACATGAACAATCTCAAGATGCAGTATTTAAAACCAATGATATTGCTGGATAAAATATTGTACAATTCAATCCAAAATCAGTCAAAAAGCATTTCAGTGGATGGGGCTTTTACCCATCCCAGGATGCTGCCGAGACGCAGCCAGGACGGCGCCTGCCAGAGCCCATCACATGATGCAGGGCTACTCCCAGCAGGGCTCCATCCCGGTTCCATCCTGGCTGTATCTCAGCAGCATGTTGAGAAACTGTCCGTGTTCTCCAGGGACAATGTAGGACAAAGCTAGGGGAAGACAGGAAATGCTGTGGGATGATAAGAAGACAAAGCAGGGCACTCCCCGACAGTTTTCCCCACTGCCCCAGAGATTCCCCCACTGTCCCTCCATCTAATGAGCCATTCTTTCTTGTTATTGTCACAGGCTATTTGAAAATATAAACATGTTTCCCAGGTGCAGATTCTTAGAAATCTGGTTTTGATCTTATCAAGTGTGAGTTATGGACATTGGGCAGGGCATGGTTCATATGATATATTTATGAGGGTGTTTCCTTGTACACTAATTATTGTTTTCATGACTTCACTAGAAGGTCTTCTGCTTGCTATTTATTGATTGTCTGTTCTGATACAGTGTGTGGCAAGAGTTGCCACCAAAATAAATCATTGAGCATTTGTTTTTCTGTCTTGTTAGAAACTTTGCTTTCAAAGACTGGTATGCTCAAGCTATATAGTTTTAGAAGATGTCTTCCACTGCTGCAACCCAGTTAGGGAATAACTGCTGGTGTCATTCCACTACCAAGTCAAAATATGGCTTATCAACTTCTGCTCCAATGATGGCATCTGAGGCCCCTTCTACACAGCTGAATAAAATTGCACATTATCTGCTTTGAACTGGAATATATGGCAGGGTAGACTCTGATAACCCAGTTCAAAGCAGATATTGTGGATTTTCTGCCTTGATATTCTGGGTTATATGACTGTGTGGAAGAGCCCTAAGTTGACTATTATAGGAAAGATATCTGTGAAATGGTCACAGAGAACTTCTGAAAGTTCTAGCAGTGAGCTCAGAGGGGAAGGTTCTTGAGTTAAACCTATCATCACCCTGAATAGCTCAGCTGGACATGAATTCACAAACGCAATATTTGCTGAAATGAAAATTTTCTTCACTGCATGTATCGCCACCTTATATGAACAAAGATGTCCTTTATATCATGTCTGGTCACATAGAAGTTGAGTTTTCTGCCATCTGTCCTCTAGTCATTGGCCTTTCTCATTTTAGTTCCCTGAAGATCTCTGTACACCAAGAAACCTAGTTTGGGAGTAATCATGCTAAAAGCCCTGGTTAGATTTTGATTCCACCAATTAACCTGGGCTTCAACGAGACCATTGGTGATACCAGACAAAAAACTCTTGAAGGTTTCCTGGATTCATTGGCATTCAAGTACGGACCATAATTCCCCCACTCCTGCAGGGGTAGCTGTGATACTAGCCCTGACCAGAAAGTGATCTGTGCATGACAACTCATTGGTTACCTCTGCCCACAGATCCATATGTTCTGAGCTGAAAACCATATCAAGGTTATGACCTGCCGAATGCCTATGTCCAGATACCAACTGTTTATCATGGATACCA